TTATTATTATTATTACTATCATTACTATTATTTTATTTTTAAATTTTTGTTGTTTTATTTTTTGTTTTATGTATGGGCCAAGATATAGGCTATGTATATATTTAATAATTAGAAATAATTATAATTTAATTATAAAACATATATATAAACGTTAACAATATTATAGGCTAGGCTAGACCTAACCAATTATTGATACCATAATCTATAGATAAAAACATCCATTTGATAATTAAACAGCAGCTTTTCGAGTGGCAGTGCCGATAGAAAATCGGAGCATTTTTCGCAATGCGGCAATAATGCCGATAGAAAATAACAGCTTTTTTCGCACTGTGGTAGTGCCGATAGAAAACAGCAGCTTTTTTCAGTAGTGTTTTGCTGCAGTGACATCTCGGTGCTGGCGACTCGCTGCTGGCGATGACTCGCTGCTGGCGAATCGATCTGCGCATGTGTATAAAATGGTATTTACTTCCGAAAACATGCCTGCTGCACGCGGTAGGTTCTGTCTCTTATACACATCTAGATGTGTATAAGAGACAGCTAAATTTAATATGACTAGGCCTATACTTTATCATTAGAGTATAATCAGATTTTTTACTGTATAAGTAAAAAGAAAAACTCCAACGAAAACAAATGCCTACTAGAGCTCTAATAGGCTAAGTTAAAAAATGTTTGCTTTGAATTATAATTGTATTTTTGGGGATTTTTCCCGAATAGTTTGGCAGGGCAGTCCTAAAATGGGTAAAATTTTATGAAAATGGGTCCAGATTTTTCATATTTTTCCGTAAAATGGTTTACTTTTAATAAAATGGGTCTACATTATTTGAATTTACGCGAACAATGGGTCCACCCTGATATTTACCTGTTAATAGCATTTGTGGTATGTCCTGAACAGATTCTATGTTTCGTTCTTTATTAGAACATTGAATTGATAATAAATAATATCAGTATTTTCAAATAATAAGGACTCTATAAGAGATTGTTTAGAAGCAATTTCGGCAGTCATATGATGTCATGAAGTCCAAGTTAAAACCTTCACAACTCTCAGTGTGTTCATGTATGCTACTATTCGAGAAAGCTTAACAGCTCGAACCTTTAAACATCACCATTTTGGACTTAGATTATTCATTCTGGACAATGTTCTAATAAAGAACGAAACGTAGAGTCAATTATGGCCTAAAGTCTGTCATCTTTCAGAGTTACCATACTCATATTCTAAATTGTGTTTTAGAGTTAGCATTAATTATATTATTTACTTGGTTTTTCCCATTGTTTTGCAGCTCACTTTTCTCTGACTGAAACTCAGTTCCTGGCAAGTTGCGGAGCTCATGTAATTAAGGCAGCCTCCACATCCAATTCTTTATTTGTACTCCATGAAATAGAGACAGAATATATGAAGAACTTTGACTAGTATCGAATAGCCTTGCTTGAAGCTGTTGCAGCATCCAAAAGAAAATCTACAGCTACCTTCCTGTTTGGTAACAAATCCATGCTGCGTTCATAACAAAATGGAAGACTTGCAAGTCATAACGGCCGTATTCGACTGGTCGTTCTTCATTAAACCACGCCCACTTGAGCAGTGGTAATATCCTACTTAACGAAGAAGACCTTTCGAATAGAAAACTGGTAAATACTCAACAAAACAAAAAGGCTACATAGTTACCCCAATGATACATCATGCATAATCAAGGTTTAAAAAAAAAAATGTTTTCATCCAGTTTTTAAATTCAGTTAGCCTATAATTATTTTTTGACTTCATGTGCGTAAATGTTAAAATTTGTAATTTCTAAAATTTAATCTAAATTATATTAATGCAGAGTTGTTGCTAAACCAATTGGCCATGTTTGTTTTGGTCACGCGAATAATGCTAATTAACGCACACTGGTTTACATTAATTTTATATCTATTTTACAAACCAGTAGAATGGAAATAATACTCAACGAAAAATTGTAGTCAACAAAATGAACTAGTCAAATAAGCCCATTAACAATTTATGCAGGTGTTGTGTATGCTATCAAAAACCAGGTTCAATAGCAATGGAATTGCTGCAGAGGAGGATGAGGGGTGACAACATAACACTATACTCTCTAGCAGTCAGGGCCCAGCCAGAGGGGTGTTGAGGGGTTTTAACACCCTCTAAAATTAATTGAAATAAACAAAAAATCCCGATAATGTAGTAGTAAAGGTAAAATATAGGCCTTTATGTATGATTTATGTATTGATTTATTATGATTTACAGAGGATCCCGGAGGTACTGTCCAACCAGGGCCCCCCCTCCCCCTTAGAGTAAACCAGAATTAATTGAAAGAAATGAATGAATCATAAACCTAACATACTGTGAATTTTTAACATTCTTTCATTACGCCATCTTTATATGATTGTAAATTTTATTTTCATATGTAGGCCTATAATTCGGGATTAGATCAAATTAAATCTCACTATATTCTAGCTCCTATTTTGTTTTCTTGAAAATGTAGTAGTAAAGGTAAAATATAGGCCTTTATGTATGATTTATGTATTGATTTATTATGATTTACAGAGGATCCCGGAGGTACTGTCCAACCAGGGCCCCCCCTCCCCCTTAGAGTAACCAGAAATAATTGAAAGAAATGAATGAATCATAAACCTAACATACTGTGAATTGTTAACATTCTTTCATTACGCCATCTTTATATGATTGTAAATTTTATTTTCATATGTAGGCCTATAACTGTCTCTTATACACATCTAGATGTGTATAAGAGACAGCTTATGAATTTATAAGATTATTTTT